ATTGTAAATTCGATTGAAATTAAATTAACAATCGATCACAGTCAGCAAATCATGTTCGAATCATTTTGAAGTATAGTATTATATATTATATGTGCGTATGCATCGTGATAGAGATGTCTCGTTGATGCTCTCGTTGAAATTACGTTTCATCGTCGCTCATTGTATTATAATTATAACGGTAGTAGGATGTTTAACACCCGTATAAGTAATTACATAGAACCACAATGTTGGGCAGGTGTGCAATTGAGAACAAACATTGCTGTTAAGTAACGTCGCTCGAATTTTTATCGTATTTATTACTCTCTATTTTTTTATTATTTATATTATATAAATGATTCTTATTATTATAAAATGTTAATCGTCCCGTGAACGATCAAATAAATAATTCAACTCGGCGAAATTTCCTTTCTTTTTTTTTTTGTCTATTAAAATTGCATTACTCTCCACCAAGGAACAAAACTTTATCCCTGTTACTAAACACCTCCTACTTTTTATCTCACAATCGCCTTACACAATAATACTCGTTCGAATAATCATTCCTTCCCGTCCAAATCATTTCTAAAATTAAACCGTATTTTGTTATACAGCATTTACAATATTACTTTAAGCGTAATATTTCTAAATTATTTCCACTCTTGAGATTGTTCGTGGCACGTAAAATATTATAGAAATGTAAAACTCGGCGTTGATTCGCCAATTACGATGATGTTAACGTTAATTTCGGGGGAATGTTGTTGTGCTAGCCACAATTCAAGAGCACGTTTCGCTTAGCTCGCTCGTCTGTAAATCGTTTGTTTCGCTTGCCAAGCTTCTGCGGAGGCAATTGCACCAGGCCTTTCCGCGTCGATCCGCGAACCGTGTCTCCCGAGCCACAGTTTTCTCCGCTTCGCTGCCTCCGGATGGAACGTTATCGAGAGCCGTTGGATTCTAAAAAAAAAAACGAAGCTAACAATGAAATTCAAACTTGATCCATTGTTTCTAAGATTCTACGTCCCTTTTTTTTTTTTTTTTTTAACTATTTTTAAATATTCACAGAGGAAATATGCGATTAAGACGATATTAAAGAAACTTTGTTCTTTTTCACTGGTTTCGAGGCCACGCGTCCTCAATAAATATTCAATAATAATCTCAGAAAAGATACGTGATTAGTGTTTGCATTAGAATTGAATGTAATAATTACTGAGAATAATTCATTCAAGAATTCTATTTCTGTAATATCTATCATTCGATTAGAAACATTGTAAATGTTCGCAATTAGAAGTAAATTATTTAATATTTTCATCAAACGAGGAATAATTGCATATATGTTCAAATCATCAGGAAAATGAATAATAAAAACTTCTAATTCATCTATTTTTTTATTAATCGCTTATACAACTGGTGGCAAAGAATTCTTAATTAGAAAAAAAGACAAGATTCTCCAATTAATGTTCATATTATATTCTGTATATTCGTCATATTCGTTCGAAAGTGCACAGAAAAGCGTGAAATAAAGCGTGTCGTGCGATCCAATTTAGACGAAAATCGGCAGAAAGTGGCTCAGAAGAAAGAAAAAAAAAAAAAGTATCCATACGATTAACGATATCCACTGGAATTTCTTTATTTTTTTCCCCTCTCCAGTGAAACGATCCATCTCAAGGGGCTCAATCGAGAGTGACAGAATCGCTTCTATCGGCTCTGCACGGTCCCGTGAACAACGTGACGCTTCAAACCCTACTTCTGCCTTTCCGTTCCGCTGGAAAATATAAATTAGACCAGGTGGACCGTGCCGAGTGCAGTTCGATGTAAGATCCTAATCGAAAATTATTGGAAACTTATTTCAAAGAATAGAATTCAATGAGAATTCTGAGCACGCTCGAGTTTCATTCGTTCCACGATCTACCTTTATGGAATTTTCTCAATTTTGATCGAGGAACTGAGAAATATGCATCCCTCGTTTTAATTATCTTTAATTAAAATATTCTTCGACGGTGGTAACGCGTGGTGAATACAGTGATGCTTTCTCGCAATTATTCGGTGTGACAACAATCATTGATCGTGCAATGGCAAACGCGCAATAACGAGATGAATCAAGTGTTGTTAATATCGTTGCTGGTGTCGGTTTTCGTCTCTCAAGGGAAATCGGTGCAGTTGGATGCGTACAATTCCGATCGAGGTCCGAGAAACGACAGCAAGCCACAACAGGCCAGCGTCCCCAAAGATGAATCAGTTATCGTACAATCGGCCACTGTTCCTCAGAAAGATCCGCTTCAATCATCCGAGACCGTGGTGCGCAACAGGCTTAAAAACCCATCGGATGACGAATCAGAAGATACTTCTTCTTCTTCTTCTTCTTCCTCTGAGGAAGAAGAAGAGCCCGAAGGTCCACCTGACCACGTCATACCTTACTCGGACCACGAAGAATCTAGAAACGTTCCAACGAAACCTAAATACGTTGCTCCAGGTGATTGGGCCAAGGCGCCCAAGGATAAAAAGATCGACCTAGAATTTGTACCTAGAAAAGTGTACGCCCAGGTGAGGAAGATCGACACGTATAGGAAATTGCCGCGAAAGAAGGCGATAGAGAATGCAGAATCAGACGAGGAGAAGGCAAACGCGGCAAGATTGAGGGAAGTGGTGAGAAATACAAAAGTGAACACGGTGTATACCGAGGAAGGGTACGAGGACTCCGCTTACGATCATGCTGGACACGTCAGAGATGCTGATTTTAAAGAAGGATACGACAGAAAGCTTCACGATCAATTGGATGTTAGGAGGAAGTCTGAGAACGATGATGACGACGATGACGATGAGTCGGAAAGTAAAAGAAGTACGAAGAAAAGTGGAAAACATGAAAAGGTTCGATCTGAAGAGATCGAGGAACAGGATAACAGTGATCGTTACGAGACGAGCACGAAGATAGACGATAATGGTTTCGTGGATCCAAAGTTTGTCGCTGAGAAGGGAACAGAAAAATTGCAGAAGGATATAGAAAGAGAAGCTGAAGAGTTGGAGAAAGGAATTGAGATAAATAAATTGGGGAAAGTAAGGGTAAAGAGTGGTAGAGAAGTGTTGGCTGAATCCAGGAAACGTGATGATTATAAGAGAAAAAATAATAGGAGGAGGAAGATGAACGAGGATGATGCCACGGATCGTGGATCAGAAGTTACAACTTTGAGAAAAAGTTTGGAAAATTGGACTGAACAGTCTTTGGAACCGTACAGGTACGAGGTTGAGGGAAATTCTTCGTCTGATGTTGATTCGATCAATTTGAAAGGTATTGGGGAGGAACCAACGACTATCAGTTACAGTCAACTCTTCTGGAATTATTTTAAAACGAAAATGGAAAATCAAGTAACTACGACAGAACTTCCATTGATTCTAGAATCAACAACTTTGAGCCCAAATAATTTACAAGCTTCGCTAGGGGTGGGAAATCTTTTACCATATTCCGTTTATCAAGGGATCACGACGTCTCCTCCAACGATCGAATCTGGAATTTTTAATGCCCCACCAATTGTCCATGATCAAACGAGATCTCAGATCGATTCAGAATATTCCAAAATTAATGGACAAGATAATCAATTGTTACCTTTAGATGACGCAAATACGAACAAATTTTGGCAATCGATTAATTCCAACGAAGGATTCACGACGCAAGCTTCTTTTATTTTAGGTCAGGAAGGAACTTTATTCTCGAATACTCAAAGGAATCTGGACGATACCGAACAAGTTAACAAGAACGATTTCGACGGTTCTCCCTTCAACCCAGCATTAAATTCTTTCAATTTCAATCGCAAGCCACGTTACAAGATCACAATCAGGCACAAGCCAAAAGAATCAAATTTCGAATCTTCGAAAAAGCAGAAATCATCAAACACTGTAGACGAGCGAGTGATCGATCCCGCGATGCCAAAAATTGTCTCAATGAACGAAAATTACATAAAAGTTCTGATGCACGTGAGAAACGAAGATAAACTGAAGAACCAGCAGCGAAGCAAACTTCTCTTTCCATCGAACGACAAGATAAAAGAATTAAGGGAAATGAGACCTCCTCTTCCCCCTCAAAAAATACCCCCAAAAAATCGTTACCACAACTTCGACTCGGGAAATCGACACGAGATCAACACCAAACACGTCGAATGGAGCCCGTTTCCTCGCGCTTCCTCCTCCAAAAATCTCAAAACACGAATCCACGACGATTCGCCGCAACGATTTCCCTTCGATCGAAAAGGAAACCCGTTCGATTTGGCGCGAATCTTTCCTTCGTTACGAAACGATCCGATCTGGCGCAAAGAATCGACGGATTACGCGAGTCGTGACGCAGGAAACAGGTCGGGGCGCGCGAAAAACTCGAAAGCGAGACACTTTGGCCAGGCGTCGAGTCAAAATGGCGGCGGTGGAATCCGTGGAAAAAGGCGGGAAAGAAGATCCGCAGAAGAAGGGGATGACGAAAGTAGTGGTATGGTTGTGAAAGGCGGATCGATGGCGAGTGACGGCGTGTCGAATCGGGGTGAAATAGAACGAGGAGGGAAAAATAGTTGGAACGAGAGAAATTGGCCACAGAAAGTGATTCCGCTCGTTGAGTTGGGAGTGGGGCCTGCTCTGAATAAATGGCGGGTAGAACGGCTCGAGGAGAAGAAATCGAGACACGACGACGGGGAAGGGTCGCGTGCCATGGAAAGAGAAAGCGGTGCGAGGGGGGAAGGCGTGAAAGGGAGGAAAGGTGATTCGAGGGCGTTCGTGTATGACGATGAAAGGAAGAAAGGGAACGCGACTGATTTGGCGAGAAGAAAAAAAAATTTTGAGACGAAGATTAATGGGTCACTCAACGAATCGTTAGACGTACAAGAAAACACGAATTTTCGGCTCAACGAAAATGGAGGAGAATCCTCCGCGACGAA